CCCCAAAACCCCAAAACCCCAAAACCCCAAAACCCCAAAACCCCTAAATATTTTATGCTTGCTGAATAAAATTTTAGTTCCAAATAAATATTTACATTTTTATTTAGAAAATGGGATTTCATTAAGGAGAATCAAACTTTCTCGGAAGCATCTTATTTGCTTCTATAGTTTCTTTAATTAAATCCCTATTTGAATCTTCTTTCTGATCATCTTCCATCCATTGATCTTTCTTTAATTCCTCATTCTTATCCCCCTCTTCCTTCATCAATCTCTCAACCTCCTTCTCTTCATCCTCATTCATCTTATTCTTATCCAAATTCTAAAATTCAAAATGTCACATCGTTCAAATATCCATTCCAATCCCTCAAAATCCCTCCAAATCCCTCTATTTCCTCTCCAAACCCTACTTCAGCCTCATCCATTAATTCCAGCTCCTCTATCTCCTTCATTTCCTTTTCCTCCTCTTCCTTCTTCATTTCCTTTCCCTCCTCTTCCTCCTCTTCCTTCTCTTTCCTCTCCTTTTCCTTCCTCTCCTTCTCCTCTACACCATAAGACCCTAAATTACCCTGCTCCTTCCTCTTCTGTTCCTCTTTCTTCCGTTTGCGTTCTTGCTTCTTCCTTTCATTTTCCTTTTCTTCTTCCTCTTCCATTTGTCGAACCTAGATTTTTTCAAAAGAAGCTTACTTCAGCAGCACGGATTAGTTTCATTTTTTGTTCGATGCTGGTGAACGTGTATGGGTCTGGTTTTGGAGGTTCTATAGGAGCGGAGTCTGAGCTTGCTGAGTCGCTGGGTTCTACATTCTGAGATGCGACTGGGCTAGGCTTATTTTTAATTTTTAAATATTTCTTATTGGGTTTCTCTTTATTTCCCTTATTAAATGACTTGCTCTTGAAGGCGCCCTTAGACCCAGTCACTTGATCCAACATACTCGATTTCAGCTTCGTCTTCTTCCGAATTTGCTTGTGCTTTTGGTCTTGTATAGTTGCCTGACTATTGAATTTCTTCCTAGCTCCGATATATAGTAAACTCTCCTCGGGATTGTTATACAAATTCTTAAGATTTGAGAGATCGTACTGATCATCATTATCTTTGTTAGAGTTGAATTGTTTCTTTCTCTCTGGATTAATAGATAAGCTATAGAATTCCTTCCTCTCTTCATCAGAATTCATCACCCTATTAACATTTTCTTCTTCATCTGAATTAGATGCATACTCCTCAAACAGCCCCATGAGAATCTTCTGGTCAAAATTTGAACGGTTGCCATACTCTAAGTTTTGAAGCATCTTGTTCATTCTCTCTACAGCTTGAGGATCCTTTTTCTCGTACCTTCTGATGAAGTCTCTGTCTCCTTGCTCAAATTCTTTCCATTTCTTCTCTATTTCAAAGTCAGAGTCATTATCTATTTCAAGAATATGCTCTTTTTGGAATTTGAGCCAGAACTTTTGTTTGTTGTTTAAAAGAACTTTAGTTAAAAGCTTCAGTTGTTCTATCCATTTGAGAATGTTTACTACATCAAGTTGTTCAAATACTTTGTCCTCAGCCTTTTTGTAGAGTAAGTGACGTTTCCATTTCTTCTTGTTCCTCCTTTGGCGACAAGCAACACAACAGATGATGTACTGGAGGACATGGAAGGAATTATAGTTGAACCTCTTTCTACAAGTGACTAGATTTTTGATCTTAAGCCTATCAACATCGTCAAGCCGCTTATTATCTTTTAGTTTGTTCGAAATAATATCAGTTTTTGTTTGGCAATATAAAGCGTTTTTAAAAATATTCCTGACCGGGTTTCTCTTTTTCAGCAATTTATCTTCTTCATTTACAAGTGAAACTGCTGAAATATCATGAATCTTGTTGGATGAATGATTTATTTGTACAATAGAGTCTCCGTTGTCAAAGCTGTGAGGTTTGTAACCTTTCTCTTGAACATCTGGTTTGTTGTCATATACCTGATAAAGTTTACCAGCAAGGGAAGCTACTAGGAGACGTTCACTGAATATATAAACAAGAACTCCTCCAATTACCTTAAGGAAGGAGAATATGCCACCAACTTGGGCTAGTAAATCACCACTGGAGTAAACTTGTCTTTCATATGAATCTTTGATAGTATCAACTCTAAAGAAGAGGCCTGCTACTTTTGGCCAGTCGCTCCATATATTATCAAAAGTTTCTCTTGCGCCTGATATACTTATGAACTCTTTTTTCTCTTCCCCTGTGATCTGGACATATCCATCCTGGAGGGAGATTTCATTTTGCCTAACAAAGACGTCTGAATCTTTCATTCTATCAGCCATGAGATTTACCCATAACTTATCGTCTATGAACCTTTTGACAGGGCTATCGTAGTCGTCTGAGTCAAAATAAAAGTTGTTATAGGCTACACTAAGTCTCCCGTTGTTAATAAATTCATCAATTTTCGTCTGATCCGAATCGCAAGTTGCAGTTCCTATTTTTGAATGGCACTTGAAGACTTGAACTTCTACGTACCTGTAATTTGGTGCCTGGAAAGAACCTCCAATAGAGTAGTCTTTCTTCTGTGGACACCAATAGGTTTTGTTAATGCCAAGTCGGCTGATATCGTCATCTGTTCCATTGTAGTCAGTACATATATGAAGAGGAAGTTCTGTTTCCTGTCTGATTCTTGTAGCAACTCCATTTGAATTGGTTTGCCAGTATGAATTAATATTCAGAACTTTAAATTTGTAAATACTTTCATCATATGTGGTATTTCCATCACTTGAAAGCTGAAGAGCCAAATCGAAGCCATAGTCTGAAAGAGATATATTATCATAATTTTTTGTGAGATCTTGATATACACTTTTCAAATTGACAGTAGTTTGCTTCCTTTTAAACATTGTTTCCAACTGAAATCCTGCATAAATTATCATGAAAATTAAAATCATTGTTGTCAGGGTTGCTCCGACATATGTCGTATGTTTATCCTCTCCTTCAAATGTCAGAGTCAAATCTTTAGCATAAATATCAATGCTCTTATATGTTTGAACAGCGTTTTTAAAAAATCGTTTTTTATATCGCTGAAATCCCATTTTTATAGCTTCTATTATTAATTTTCAATTTGAAAATATTGATAAGGGGTTTTGGGGTTTTGGGGTTTTGGGGAG